GGAGTTCTGGTTAGCAGTAATCTGAAACCAAGACAACAGTGCAAAAGTGTTCTCAATAAAGCTAATAGAATCCTTGGCTTCATATCAAGAAGCATAGGAGGATGACAAAGTTGATCCCATGTATCAGAAACCTTCCCTATGAGGATAGATTAAGGGGCCGAATCTCCTCTCTAGAAAGACTGAATTGGGGGGGATTGATTGAGGGTATAAATGGAAGACAAAAATAAATAAAGGGGGATGTAAATAGTGTGGCTGAAAATATTAGCCTAACGGGCTCGCAGCATGGTTTTAATTTTAGAAAAATTCAGATTCGGAAGGATATGGGAAAGTAGGGTTTTGGGAAATAGGTTGGGGATAGGGGAAAACTCCCAGTACAGTTATAGGGGCCCAGAATTTTAGTTTTAAAAAAAGGGTTGGAAAAATACCGGTGGGTGTGGGGGGTGTGGTTGGCCCTGATTAGCTGCCGTGTTCCTCCCTTAAGTCGGGGTGACCTGGACTACTAGGTTGGGTCATTGGTTTAGGGGTGGGAGACTTGGAACTGCCTGCATGGGCCGTGGGCCCTGTGCAGTGTTCCTTCGTTTTTATTCTAATGTTCTTAAACCGTAATCCATACAGCACGGGGGAATGGAAGGTAATCGGGGTTTTAATAAAAAGAAAGGCAGAGTAGCTCCAAATTCCTTGAATCAAGGCATCTCTTCCTTCTTTGACAGATGTAGTATTCCGGTCTTAAAAATTCTCAGCAAAGGCATCTCTTCCTTCTTTGACAGGTGTAGTATTCCGGTCTTAAAAATTCTCAGCAATTTCATATACAGTAATATTTATGGGGAAGTGCTGAACCCATAGGGGTCTCATAGTGCCTGGACAAATTGACTGTAAGAGGCACTCAGGTCTGATCCAGGTGAGGATGAGCTTCAATTCCCTGGATCAGGAATCCCTGGATCAAGGCATCTCCAATTTTCTCATTAAACCAGCTTTAATTGTGTTGTGCCTGGCATTACATTTTCACCCCCCAAAAAGTGTTTTTATTCTAAATATAATTTGCTAAGGATGTGATATTTTCGTCTCCTCCAAAATACATGTCAACCACAGGTGTTGGGAAGGTAGTGGGTGAGGAATATGTGGGCCAGCCCTCTCCCTCAAACACCTGCTACACTTAACCATCCACTTGTTTAGCTAAAAGACAAAACAAAAAATATAATAAATTTAAGCACTAAATTCATAAGTCATGCAGCGCTGTGGGGAAGGATATGCCTAAGCAGGTATGTGCATAGGTTAGGAGATAGGTACAAATTCAAGCTGTCTATAAATAACAAAAAGGCACAATACCGTGACTGGAACGATACACAAATAACCCGCACATAAAAGACAGAAGCTTACGACGACGTTTCGGTCCGACTTGGACCATTGACAAAGTCACACTAACAGGGGAGGAGCAGGACGGCTATATATAGGCAGGAAGAGGTGGAGGTAGTAGTAGTGGTGGTAGTAGTAGTAGTAGTAGTAGTACAAGAATTGTATATAATACCGACAGGATGAAATGACACACGCACAACACCCGTCTACGGTGGGGATGCCCGGGTGTTGTGCGTGTGTCATTTCATCCTGTCGGTATTATATACAATTCTTGTACTACTACTACTACTACCACTACTACTACCTCCACCTCTTCCTGCCTATATATAGCCGTCCTGCTCCTCCCCTGTTAGTGTGACTTTGTCAATGGTCCAAGTCGGACCGAAACGTCGTCGTAAGCTTCTGTCTTTTATGTGCGGGTTATTTGTGTATCAAGCTGTCTAGATCAGGGGTTCCCAACCTGGAGTAAATTTGGTCTTTTCTAAGGGGTAATGGTAGCCAAGGTAAAATAGGTAAATAGGTCCTATATGGTCATTATTTTTTATTACTAGCCATAGGTAATAAAATGTTATAAAGCTATGCTGCAAGTGCATAATTATGCAGGAGGAGTAATGAGTCAAGGGATGTGTGGAAAAAAGACAATATTGGGCAAATAAAGGTTGATACTCCCTGATCTAGATCAATATAGTATTCATAAAATACAGTGGAACCTCAAATTTCGAACTTAATCCACTCCAGGAGCTAGTTTGAAAAGTGAAGCAATATTTCCCATAAGAAATAATGGAAATACAATTAATCCGTTCCAAAAGCCCAAAAATAAATAATAAAAAAAAAAAAATACATTTTATAGAGATTAATTATACTTTTACATACAGACATCAAATATAGTGTACAATTATGTATTAATAAATTTAAATGAACATATAAAATATAATTTTTACTTACCTTTACTGAAGATTGGTGATGGCATCTGGAAGATAGGGAAGTGGAGAGAGGGAGTTGGGGTTAGTGTTTGGAAGGGGAATCCCCCTCCATTAGGAGGGGTCTTTTTTTTTGGTTAGCATATTAACACCTTTCGCAACATCAGCTTCCTTGATTTGTTCTTTCTTTGCCAGGATAAAAGCGATGGTCGACTTGTTTTCCCATACATCCTGGCAAGCTCGACAAGTTTCACACCACTCTCATACTTCTGTATTATTTCCTCCTTCACATCTATGGTTTTTCTCACTTTCTTTACCACAGGGGTACCACTAGCAAGTTTCTTTGGGCCCATGGTAGCTTATTTCACAGTCTCACAAGCACTAAACACAATGAATTAATCATAAAATGTTTGAATGAGAGTGCAGGTTAGTGTTCACTCAAGCATCAACAAAGCCAGACTGGCTCAAGGCGCCTGCGTGGGGACGCGGAGAGAGCGGCTGGTGGACAGGTCCGGTACCCGGCGGTTTGAAAATAGGGGCGAGTTCGATAATAGGGACAATGCTGGTTCAAAAAAAGTGGTCGATTTTTGAAGAGTTCGATAAGCGATATGTTTGAAATTTGAGGTTCCACTGTAAGTGCAAAACCAGTAGGAATCATACTTAGTCTGAGCAATGGGGAGGAATCAGGTTTGATCAAGGAAAGGAAACAGAGAATATACATCAAGGCACCCACCCTTAATGTAAGCACACCCTTGATGCCAATGAGTTGCTCTGCAACTCCTTGCCTTTCCTTCAATCAATTTGCCTCCCATTTTCCCAGGCACTGTATCACTTGTTTACAGATTTTATTAACCAAACGTATCTTGACACCTGAACCCCATTCTCTTTGCTGACGACACGACTTATGTCATCTCTCACCCTAATCTTGCCACCCTCAACACCATTGTTAATGAGGAGCTGATCAAAATATCGACTTGGATGACAGCCAATAAACTTATGCTTAACGTTGACAAAACCTACTACATTATGTTTGGTAGCAGAGCAGATGCGCAAATTAACATTAAGATCGACAACACTCTAATTACCAGGCATAATGAGGGCAAATTCCTAGGCCTATACCTTGACAACAACCTGAACTTCAGCACCCATATCCAACACATAACCAAAAAAGTATCCAAAACGGCTGGGATCCTCTCCAAGATACGATACTACGTGCCGCAAACTGCCCTTCTCATATTATACCATTCACTTATATATCCATACCTCACCTATGCTATCTGTGCTTGGGGTTCAACTGCAGCAACACACCTAAAGCCAATAATAACCCAACAAAAAGTCGCAGTAAGAATAATCACTAAATCCCATCTCTGGCAACACCCCCCCCACTCTTCATAGATCTAAACTTACTCCCTGTTCAGTACATCCACACTTACTACTGTGCAATCTAGATCTACAGGACCTTAAATTCCAATATTAACCTTGACCTAAAACGCTTTCTTGATAGTTGTGACAGAACCCACAGGCACAACACCAGACACAAACATCTCTATGACATTCCCCGTGTCCGACTAAACCTTTACAAAAATTCAATGTATGTCAAAGGTCCTAAAATCTGGAACACCCTACCTGAAAATTCCAAAACTGCAGACACATTCATCACCTTCAAAACTACCATCAGAAAACATCTTATCTCCCTGATACACCCTGTCAACTAATAATGCGAATACCACCTGGTGGTTCATACTTACACTCACTCACCCATTTGACCATAAACAGAAATATCAATCTCAATCTCAAAATAATGAATCTTAACTAGTCATAAGTTGGCCTGTGATACTCCAATACTGAAACTACGTATAGTGCCAAAACAAAAGCATTCACATTGCTAAACTCACAACTAGTATTTAGTCACTTAGCCATAATACCAACTTATCTCATAATTTTGTAACATTTTAAACCTAAGATTTAATATAAGTCTGCCCGAAATGCCTAGCCATGCTAAGCGTTCTAGTGGTACACTCTGTAATTATTATTTTACTACATGTAAACCACACAATAACCAAATTCTGTAAACTCAGCATTGTAATACTTATAGAGAATAAAGTTTGAATTTGAATTTGAACCACTAATTATATTAATCAAGGAAACTTTATCCATAAATAGGGCACAAAGTAAACTCGGTGTCTATACGCTATGCATGACATTGTGCGGATGGTTGTGTATTGAATTCAAGGGGAAAATGCTAAACCCATAGTGGATACAGTACTTGGAGGACATGAGGGAATCAAGTTCTATCCAAGGGCAGGGAGGACAAGTTCAATTCCTTTCAGTAAGAGCCCCTCACCAACTTCAAGCAACCACCCTGCACAGCACAAATGTAGAAAATGTTCTCAGTATTACAGGTTTTATACACTGATGGATCTAAGCGGGAGTCTATTGGCTGGCCTGCACTTCCTCGTTGCCATCTCCCTAGATAATAATGATAGGAACTATGTTGAATTAGGCATAAGAATTAACATCTGGGCATCTACACTGCAAACTGAATTGTTTGCCATCCTAATGGTGCAAAGTTAACTTAATGTCACTGAGCTTGACTTTAGTTTCCTGCAATAGTTTCAGGCAAAAAATCAAGAGCACAGCACCACAAGTCAGACAAGTTATTAAGGAAATCTGTCCTCACTACCCAATAAAAAAATTAAATCAAGAAAATGCAAAACCAGTTAAAAAAAAAAAAGTATGTATGAAAGCATAACAATGCTTAAATAAGGCATCAATAAGGAAACCTGTCCTCACTCACTGGTAACAAAATAAGCATTTCATTTGAAAATGAAAAATAAAATAGGGTAAATTTTAATACAAAATTCTTTATAAGATATCATCACAATGTTTAAAATCAAGTCTTTGGTACTAAATAATGTCCTCTTGGCTATTGCTAAATAAAAAAATATTTTGAGAATTACACACCATAATAGATGCTGAGCACACCTCGTCTAACTGTAGTATCATGATCGAGCTCAAAAAGCACCATGGGAGGAATTCAGCACAGAAATATTAAGTAATGTCATCATTACTTAACCCTTAAACTGTCCAAACGTAGATCTATGTTCGCTCGCGAAGTGCTCCGAACGTAGCTCTACGTTTTTTTACGTTCTTTCTTATGGAGAAAATCAAGGTTGGAGCGCTACATGCACAACTGTAGATCTACGTTTGGACAGTTTAAGGGTTAATAGAGAGCCTACTCCTCTTCCCCAATATGTCAGTAGGTCTTTTTGTATCTGGCAGGCCTGGGCTTGTAGGTTTTCCCTTCTGTGAATCTTGTAACCTCTGGTTCTGACTGGTTTTTGAAGACGATTTTGGGAAAGGAGGCATCAGCAGGCTCCTGAACAACATAAATGGTAAGTGGGCACCCAAAACACCGAGCTGTTGCCAGGTTTGTGACAAGGTTCAAAGAGAACATGGCAGGGAATATCCTATAATAGCACATGGGACATTCCTTGGGAAATGGAGTCACTGGATAAGTGACCACATAATACAAGCCATCTGCAGGAGGAGTCACAAGGTGCATCTGGGAGATTCCTTCTTGAGGTATGTCTTTTCCAAAAACTGTGGATGGACGACGGTCACTAGATGGAGTCTTCTCTTGGTGTTCTCTCTTCCTCTTATGTTTTCTGTTACTTTTTGGAATCTCTTGCTTGTTGCAGGAACTGAGAAAATTCCTCAAAGTTGACCTGGTGAGAGGTTGAGGGACGAAGCTCGGCCTATTTAACATTATGGAAGATTTTTCTATTGTGTCTTTAACTTTGGACAATATATTGTGGTCTACAGAGATGAACTTAGTGACTTCATCCAAGTTCTCCAGCCCATAAGGATGAGATAAGAGGATGTCCATCATAAACTCGTTGTCAGCCTCTTCTGAGTCAAAAAACAAATGACATGACTTCATTGCATCTTCTTTCAAAGTATACTCATGAAAGGTCCTTGCTGCTGTAAGAATGGGAGTCCAGAATTTGCTATTCTTGTCAAGCTTCTGTAATTTCTGGAGAAATGAAAAGAAAGGCTGATGTTGGCATCTGCTAAGTTTGCACCTCTTGATTTGTGATTCTTCCTCTACTTTTTCTGTCCTACAAGCCTCTTTTGTTTCAATATTTTTTTCTCTAATTTCTTCTGGTCTTGCATTTTTAATGTCCAATTGGATGATGTCCATTAGGTCATCCACTTCATCCTCTATGCTTTTCACTAGTTCAGGTTCAACTTTCTGAGGGGCAATTTCCATTTTGTCATTGTTACTGCACTCTAATTTAACTTCTTCAACCTGTCGTGGTACCAGCTTAACTTGCAATTGCTGAGCATCTAGTTCTTCACTTACTCCACTGGATATCAGTTTACTTAGTGGTTTGCTTGGGATCTCAGTTTTTTCAGGGGAGACTTCCTCTTCATTCACTGCTTGCGCTACAGTTTCTACCTCGTCAGCCATGGCCACTGCATCCACAAATGAACTCTGGCATTGAGCCTGAAGTCCAACATTATTCTCACACACATTAATGGAGACATTCTCACCCACCAGCTCAACTACACCAACACAAATGATATCTTCTTCCCACATTGTTTGAGATATGACAACTTCCTCTTCAACTATCTGAGGTATTCTTTCATTATCAAAAGGTTGGGGTTCAACAATATTAAGGTTTTCACCATATGGGACATTCTCATCCTCTAAGAGATTTTTCTGTGACTCTGATTTGGATGTTAACTTGGGAAATTTCTTCTGGAAGTCTTCCTTTTCATTTCCTCCTTGTGATACAGAATTTAAATTACAATGATCTTCATTTGTCTCCACTTTAGATAAATGATTTGATTCCAAAAAGTCTCTCTCTTCTGATTCCATCATGTCACCAGGAAGGTAACCTGTACATCTTTGCAATCCCTCAATTGCTGACCTCCAAGGAGATTTGTGTTCTAAAGGTCTAAAGCTCTTGGCATAAAAGGCCACACTCATAATGTCATCTGTTACTGGCTTACTTTTCAACTTTCTCTTATATATTTCCCTTTGCAGTTTGCTCTTTATGTAGGACACTGGGTTATTCACCCACTTCAAATGTCTGTGAAAGCATGGAGAGCTTTCTTTGGTTCTTACTGATCTCATTATTTCTTTAAAGTTTCTACAGGATTTGATCTCCCTACTACAATCACGACATTTCAGTAGACCGAAGAAAAGATGCGAAGGCATCTGATGCTTCTTTACCACTTCCTTACAAGTATAGCATACAACTTTGGATGGAAAGGGTAGAGATTCCCTGGCAGGCACGGCTGAAGTCTTCATAAACTGATCCTTGGACTTACTGGAGTCTTGAGTGACTTCATTTCTCTTGAAACTAGAGGACTTCAGATTCTCTGGTTTTGATCTCTGGCTGTTGTTTTTGGCAGCTACATTTGATAATTCAATACCTGCGGTGCTGGCAGTGTCGTTGAATGCTTCACCAGTGTTTTTTGAGAGTTTGAGCGCTTTATTGTTGTGTTTGTATATTTCTTGCAACAAGTTGCTGTCACTTTTGACTTTATTCTTCAACATACTCGAGTTTCTAGGTAAATCCTTCAGTAATATTTTATCATCTATGCTATTGTTGTGTGTTGCCAAATTCTTTAAATCATTATTGCCCATTTTCACATGCTGTTGCATCTTTGTGCGTGTCACAGAACCTTTAGAAACCATTTTGTGCCCAGGTGGTTTCGATATTTTTTTTTCAGAGTTTTGTGTGAATTTAAATACTTTATTTTTTGGTTTTATAATGCCCATTAAAGCCATATCTTTGCTTTTCAAAGGATCTTCAACTAAGTATCTTTTACTTTTATTTTTCAAAGAATCTCTAACTGAGTATATCTTTTTTTTGCCTTCAGAAGAATGTTTAAATCTATTATTGTCACGTTTTTTTTTAAAAGTGTCACCACTATCTTTAGATAAACTTTTTAATTTATCTTCCCTCATGTTTTTACTTGAACACTTTATTTCCTCTATGTTTTTTAGGCCTTTCAAAATTTCATTCCCTGGCAAAGCTTCTGACACTTTATCCAATACTTTTGAACTCTCACTCTGATTTTCAATCAAGCCTTTAAAGGCTTTATTTGTTTGCGAACCTTTTAGTACTTCGTTTGATTCCTTTAAAGCTTGGTAACTATTTTTGGGAGTGTCTTTAGGGTTATCGTGAGAATCTTCTAAACCCTCTAGCACGTCTTTTGAGATTTTTAAAGTTTCATTATGCTCTACTGAATTCTTACATGCTTTTTCCAACTGTTGTAAAGCATCGCTTTTATTAATAAACAGAACTTTTGAAATATCTGATTTTTTCAAAATTTCACTTTTGTCAAAAGACTCTTCTGACACCTCACAGCTGATTTTATGTACACCTTTTGATTCCTTATAAAAGTTTTTTAAACACTCACTACTGGATTTATGTAACTCCTCTGATTCTTCAATGGGTTCTTTCACACTAGTAACTTTATCAAGTGGTTCTTTTATCTCTTCGGGTATTTTCAAGACCTTATTTTCACTTTCAAAATCTTTAAACATTTCCTTTGACTGTAATGAATCACTGGATATCTTTGGAGACTCTTCCAAAGTCTTTGCACTATTTTTTGATGAACCATCTGTAACGTCACTTTGGACATGGAGAGATTTGCTCATTTCTTCGCTGTTGCCATTAGCATTTGCTTTCATTAAGACTTTCACTGCATCTCCTATTCCACTGCCATCTTTTCCTTTTTTCAGCTCACCCGAAGCATCACCTTTGGCAGGGGTTTCAGTGATTTGCAAAACAGACACACCCAGTCCCCCAGTGCACTTCTTAGCATCTTCCTTCAGCTGTCTTACTTTGTTACTGACACAATTTATGGAGGTGTGGTTATTTCGGGAGGCAAACTGCTTTCTCTTTGGAAAATGTGTCTGGTGCCAGGGTGGATATGGTAGTGATTGGGCAGCAACTTGGCAGCTGAAGTTGTTTCCTTGGTAAAACCCACTCTGCATTGGCACAGAGTACCCATTCCTGTTCTGCCTCACATTTCCTTGATGTTGAGAAAACCATGCAGAAGACTGATTCTGGTTTTGCTGTTGCTGGCTATAATGATTATTCTGGTAATGATTTGTGTTAAATGATCCAGAATTCCAGACCTGCTTTGGATGGGCTGAGGGGACAACAGGCTGATGAATACCATGGGTGTTAGGGTTATTTAAACGATTAAAAAATTGATGTTGCTGGAACTGGTGTTGATTGCAGTTCAGTAAAGGGGGTTGGTGATTCAGTAAAGGTGGATGATGATTCAGTAAAGGTGGATGATGATTCAGTAAAGGTGGCCGATTCCATCCATAGTTCGAAGGGCCTGGAGCCCTTTGGAAGTGGCATGAGAAGGATGGATTCATCATACTCAGTCTCAATAAGGTCCTCCCTGGAAAAGCATGAAGAAAATAATAATGAAAGACATACTAGGTGAAGGCACTAAGATATCAGAGGTGTCTAATTAAAAATCCTCTAAAATGAACTGTAGAGCATATGTGAAAAAACTGGGCTACACTCATTAGACCGTACAAAAAAACAGCCATTCTTTGTCAAAATTAAAAAATAATAAAATTTTCTATTCATTACATTATAGCTGTCACTGCTTGTTGATATGGAAATGTGTCTGGAGGGGTTATGTGGTCCTGTACAGTAACTGTGCAAACATAATCAGTTGCACAACTATTACCTGCTGCAACTGTCACCTCCAACACAATCACCTCCAAACATCACTAAAAATACCACATATTACCAGCCAGAAGATAAGACTTTTTACTAAATAAATATGCCCACAATAATACCCACTATAGTATGAATATATGTTATTCCCCCAAAAATATGAAAAAAAAAAAAAAAAACTTCAGGATGTCAACCAGTGCTGTTGTTATTCTTGGGTTTAAAGTTGTGATAATTCAAGAAACATGGTGTCTATCTGTCTTCTGTAAAAAACTACCAGAATGCTTTTGCAAATATAAAACTAATACATATTTATAAATTCATTTAAATAAACAAATACAATAAAGCATTATGTCCCTAGCATTTTCAATAATAAACATTATACAGGTTGGTCATCACTAATCCGGCATCATTGGGAACTGTAGTGTGCCAGATTAGCGAGTTTGCCGGATTACAGAGTGGTTAGGTTAGAATATACTTAATTAACCTATCAATAGAGACTCTGCTACATCTTCCTTATTATCATCACTACTTTCTCCTCCACTGGCTTGCTGCTCTGGATTTACAACCCTCTGCACGTTTTCTGAGTCAGTATAATAATGAAATTTGAGTCGGTATAATGAAATTTGAAATTATGCTAGCATTGATTGGTGCTGGATTACTGATGGAACCGGATGCCTGATTGCTGGATTAGTGATGGCTGACCTGTAGTAGTATGGAACAGAGGGTGGTGTTAGGCTCAAGTCATGGTGGCTCTTAACACCACCAGGATCAACCCCCTCGCACAAAATATAAGTGCAATATATATAATATATATATATATATATATATATATATATATATATATATATATATATAATATATATATATATATATATATTATATATATATATATATATATAATATATATATATATATATATATATATATATATATAATATATATATATATATATATATATATATATATATATATATATATATATAATATATATATATATGTATAAATGAAATCATGAAACAAGTGGTATTGCAACATTTACCAAACTGCGGCAGGCCAGAATTCGACCCAACACATTATCCCGCCTCAAGAGACATCACAACGTACATGTCACCCTATCCACTCCACCATCGATCCTACAAACAACACGAGCCTCCGCCTCCTCCTCCACTGCTTATGCTGAGCATTTCAGGCAAATTAAATCAGTTTTATCCCAGGATGCAACCCACACCAGTCGACTAACACCTAGGTACCCATTTTACTAATGGGTGAACATAGACAACCAGTGTAAAGAAACACACCCAATGTATCTACCCTTGCTGGGAATCAAACCCGGACACTCGCCGTGTGAAGCGAGAGCTTTAACCACCAGGACACAAATGTTGAAGCGTTAGTGCTTTTAATAATTTATTAAGGAACCTTAAATATCAGATTCTGCTATGTTTTAAGAGTTCTTGGACTTCAATATTTTTTCATCTCACAGGAAAGCTCCATGAAGCCAGGAAAGGGGCTCTTGATCCAAGGAACTGAACTTGCTCTCCCTTTCCTTGGATTAAGCTTGAATGCCTCCTATGTACTGCATAATCCTACAGGTTTAGCACTTCCCCGTGAATACAATAATAGCACTAATGTTCAGATCTGTGAAAGTCAAATTAATTTCCTATTAAAAAACAGTACTGGTGGATGGTGGAGAGCACTACATCGGTAGGGGCCATACAACGCCTGGGAGAATGACACAATGCCTCCCCAGGTCATCACCCCTCCTCCACTACTCTCTCACCCTCATCACACCACCTCCACCCTACCCTGCCTTCCACGAGGACTTGAAACCACCAACCAGATCTAGGCCTGTGGAAACTTATTTGGTCCCTAAAGTTCCACAGGACAGATCCGGCATGGCCGTAATGGTACGGCTGAGCTGGGTGGCCCTTATACCCCACCCAAAACAAAGCATTCTCTAGTTGGCATGGATTGTTGGTAAGCTTATTTAATTTATAGATTTACCCTTCAGGGAAGGAGTAGGTAGTTTTACTGGTAGTACACTAATATTAGGATCACTGAGGCAACTGTAGATAATAATAATGTAGACCTAAGACCTTAACATAGGTAGTAATAGGCCGATAATGTAGGCAAACACTAGGATAAGTTAGCTAGGGAGAACTGGCAGCCCTAGTTTGAACGAAGAGATGAGGGTCTGGAAGAGAGACCAGCTCGTTCTTCTTAAGACAGACACCAACTGGACAAGATGTGCCGTGATCAGCAGATGGCGCCCCCCCCACGTGTCTTTACATTTGAGACCTGGGGAAATCTGGTAGAGGCACCTCGATGTACCGTAGATGACCTCCGTCAGGCCCATACAGTAAGACAAAACCTCCACTTTATCTCATAGATTTCTGGCCAGTGTCTGGGGAGAATTGTGAGTGAGTTTGATCTGTGGGCCCGGTGTGCAACAGGCAGTGCATGCCCAGTAAGTACCAGTGTCTCAAAGCAGTCTGGAAGCTAGTGTCCGTGTCTGCATAGTTATACTAGGGGATACATACCCTCTTGGAAATGGGAATTTCTGAGGTGCAGGCAGGACACTAATAACGATTGAATATTGAAGGAATTAAGGTTCCCGGTTGCACGTGGTTTCTGAGGGGAAGTCCAGAGGGGCTAAGGCTAAGCTTAGGGAAGTTGAAGATCAGGATATATGCTGCAACACCAAGTAAGTTAGTCCTTTATACGTGCATGCAGGCGAGTTTCTTGCAACATCAATCATTTGTGAAAATCTGTCCTATAAGCCACTTGTGAGGCTGAGGTACCCACCTCAGAGCTCAGTGTCAACAGAGTTTGCCAGGGTAGGCAACTCACTTGGAGGCAGTACACACAAATTTTCACAAGGCCTATGCTCTCCTCCACCCCTCTCCACCCCTACCATGAACAACCTTGGGTATGTGCCTCCACCCACATATGTCATTCTCCTTTCAGCCCAAGCTCACCACACAGATTGAGATGTGGCAGATGATGCAGCTAGCCAGCCACAAAGCCAGGGAAACAGTGCACCTAACAATGAAAGAAGAGGCACATGTCAGGTGTGTGGAGCATTTTGGGCACTAAACAGGAATGGCCTTATACGTGCACACAATGGGTGTGCTGGATCATATATGGTCCCTGCAGAGAGCAGCCCACAGCTTCCACAGGTAAATGAAATTTCCAATGGTAACCTCATATTCCTAAGGTGGCTCATCCATATGCGGCAGGGGAAATTCACAGACCTTCTCAAGCAGGTGAATAGAGGTTCCACCAACTTAGAAGCACAAGGCAACATTAAAGCTTAGCACAATCTACTCCTGTTCAGCAATGTCTTGTCTTACAGTTCCTGAAAGACAAGGCAAACTGCTAACCACATCAGTCATCAAGGCAGTGCGCAACTACCCAAGAATACATAACTGTGTCCCTCTGCCCCACCATAGCAGGAATCACAGAGGTAGACCCAAGAAAAATTCCACTGAAAATCAGAAAACCTGCACACAGGTTAGAAAAAAAAATGGAAGAAGGTAAAACAGTGGGAGCAATCAGAATAATTACAAGTGACGACACTGTTGCTCCCAAATATGAGGCCACAGCCCAAGTACTAAGAGACAAGCAATCAACAAGGGACACCATGGTCATTAGCAACAACCCTGAGGAAGACCTCATCACCGAACAATTAATTTTGCCAGAATCGGAAGTCTATAAGGCGATGATGTCATTTCCAGCAGGATCTGCAGGAGGTTACAATGGAATTCGACCACAACACCTTAAAGGGATGGTAAATCCAGTACTCGGCACATCTGCATCAATTCTTCTCTCCGAGTTAACAACCTTCGTTAACACCACAGAACTTTGAAAAAGCAATGATGTACCCATGCACTCTGCCACAGGCCCAGACTTGTGGAACTCCTTGTTCATCAAGAACTGCAAGAAGCCCCTTTCACATGCCTTAAGTATTCTATGGAGAGGGAGCATGGACACATTGGTTATCCCACAATCACATTCAACAACAGACTAGTCCCATTCCACTAAGATGGCAGTAAAGCACTTGTTAAGAATTACAAGCTGACATACAGATGTAAGACACAGCACTGTGTCCTTTGCTGATACCAGAATTTGCATGACAGTGTCATCCATAGAGGACACTGCAAATTTCCAAGCAGGCATTAACCAAGTTTTTAAATGGGCATCAGAAAATATGAAATTCAATGAAGACAATTTTCAATTACTCCACTATGGAAAACTCGAGAAAATGAAAACGGGATCATAGTATAAAATAAATTCAAACCACACAATACAGCGAAAAACTAATGTGAAGGACCTGGGAGTGATAATGCCAGAGAATCACAACAGACCGGGCCGCGGGGGCGTTGACCCCCGGAACTCTCTCCAGGTAAACTCCAGGTAAACAATGTATTTACCACATCTACTAGGAAAATGATAGGATGGATAATGAGAACCT